GGAGATTTCTTTATTGTAATTTTCTTGAGACATAGGGATATTAAGAAGTATGTGGACATAACATTGAATGGCTGCCATCTTGTGTTGAAAAGGATGATTTGATGATGTTGGTATCATATGGTCAGTTTTAGTAGGTTTTCTGAATATTGAAAATTCTAGTGTAGGCAAAGAAGAAAAGGAGGAAGTATTCTTTTTGATAGTTAGGTCTAAAAAGTTGATAATGTTGTTGCTTTCTACTTCTAAGGTAAAATTAATTGCAGGATGTAGATTATTAATTATTGACAAAATATTGTGAGGTTCTGAAGGTGGGCCTTCTATAAAGGCTAAAATGTCATCCACATATCTGTACCATAGGATTATTTGTGGTTGAGAATGAACAAAGTTAGTTTCGAGAGAGTCTAGAAAAAGATCTGCAAGTAGAGGAGATAAAGGATTTCCCATTGCTAAACCCTCTGGTTGTCTATAAATTTTATCGTTAAAGATAAAGAAATCTTGGGAAAGGCAAAATTGGAGTAGAGAAGTAATTTGTGAACATTTATTTTGGTCAATGTTTTTTCTTTGTAGAAGGTTATTGATGATTGGAATGGTGTCTAATCTGGGAACATTGGTGAACAGATTTGTTACATCGAAGGAGACCATAGTGAAGTTATTCGGAAGAGTATGTGAAGAAATTTTGGAGATTAAATCTAAAGTGTTGGCAATAGTATATTTGGGAGTGTAATTAAGTAGATCTAGTAGAAGAGTGTTGATAAATTTTGCTAGTGAAGCTAGTGGGGTGTTGACAAAACTAACTACAGGTCTTATTGGAACATTAGCTTTATGAATTTTAGGGAGACCATAAAGTCTTGGTATTAAAGGATTGCTAGAAATGAAAGTTTTGGGGTTAGTTCCAAGTTCTTGAAACAAATTAGTTGCATTAGAAATGTTTGATTTTAGATCATTTATAAGTTTATTCATTGGGTTCTTGTTAAGTGGAATAAATGAGTTGTTGGATAGAAAAGATTCTACTTTGTTAACATAATCACTATTGTACATGATTAGAAGACAGTTTCCTTTGTCAGCTTTTGTTATTATAAGTTTATGAGTTTTAATTTTATTAGAAATAGATTTAACCAGTTTAAATTGTGTATGAAAAGTTGACATAACCTTATTGTTAGAATAGTATTTTTGATAAGACTGATTTAGTGCAAAAAGACAAGACATTTTTAAGTTGGTTTTTACAGTGTTTGTGATGTTTAAACTATCTATGATGCTATCAATCTCTACACAGAGTAACTCAATATTATTTAAATCAGGTTTAGTTTTTATACAAAATTTGAGACCCTTACTCAAAAAATCAAGTTCTGGTTTTGTAAAATTGCAATTTGACAAGTTTTTAACCCTTTCATGAAATATATGATAAGAAGAGGATTGTTGACTCACCTGATTCCTGTTGTTATTATTATTTTTATTAAAAGGATGTTGTTGTTGTCAAATTGCAATTTTACAAAACCAGAACTTGATTTTTTGAGTAAGGGTCTCAAATTTTGTATAAAAACTAAACCTGATTTAAATAATATTGAGTTACTCTGTGTAGAGATTGATAGCATCATAGATAGTTTAAACATCACAAACACTGTAAAAACCAACTTAAAAATGTCTTGTCTTTTTGCACTAAATCAGTCTTATCAAAAATACTATTCTAACAATAAGGTTATGTCAACTTTTCATACACAATTTAAACTGGTTAAATCTATTTCTAATAAAATTAAAACTCATAAACTTATAATAACAAAAGCTGACAAAGGAAACTGTCTTCTAATCATGTACAATAGTGATTATGTTAACAAAGTAGAATCTTTTCTATCCAACAACTCATTTATTCCACTTAACAAGAACCCAATGAATAAACTTATAAATGATCTAAAATCAAACATTTCTAATGCAACTAATTTGTTTCAAGAACTTGGAACTAACCCCAAAACTTTCATTTCTAGCAATCCTTTAATACCAAGACTTTATGGTCTCCCTAAAATTCATAAAGCTAATGTTCCAATAAGACCTGTAGTTAGTTTTGTCAACACCCCACTAGCTTCACTAGCAAAATTTATCAACACTCTTCTACTAGATCTACTTAATTACACTCCCAAATATACTATTGCCAACACTTTAGATTTAATCTCCAAAATTTCTTCACATACTCTTCCGAATAACTTCACTATGGTCTCCTTCGATGTAACAAATCTGTTCACCAATGTTCCCAGATTAGACACCATTCCAATCATCAATAACCTTCTACAAAGAAAAAACATTGACCAAAATAAATGTTCACAAATTACTTCTCTACTCCAATTTTGCCTTTCCCAAGATTTCTTTATCTTTAACGATAAAATTTATAGACAACCAGAGGGTTTAGCAATGGGAAATCCTTTATCTCCTCTACTTGCAGATCTTTTTCTAGACTCTCTCGAAACTAACTTTGTTCATTCTCAACCACAAATAATCCTATGGTACAGATATGTGGATGACATTTTAGCCTTTATAGAAGGCCCACCTTCAGAACCTCACAATATTTTGTCAATAATTAATAATCTACATCCTGCAATTAATTTTACCTTAGAAGTAGAAAGCAACAACATTATCAACTTTTTAGACCTAACTATCAAAAAGAATACTTCCTCCTTTTCTTCTTTGCCTACACTAGAATTTTCAATATTCAGAAAACCTACTCAAACTGACCATATGATACCAACATCATCAAATCATCCTTTTCAACACAAGATGGCAGCCATTCAATGTTATGTCCACAGACTTCTTAATATCCCTATGTCTCAAGAAAATTACAATAAAGAAATCTCCATCATTAAACAGATAGCAAACAACAATGGTTTTCCTTCTACTACTGTTGATAAAGTCATTAGAAAATCTATACTCAAAAAGAGACTAAACCAAGCTTTTAATGTTGATAACAAATCCAACACTACTTCCATATATAGATCCTTAACTTACTTAGGACCAATTTCAGAAAAAATTTCAAGAGTACTTGTTAATAAAATTAATGACTTAAACATCTCCTTTAAAACCAAATATAACATCAAGTCCATCTTCAGCAAGACCAAAGACAAAGTTGACAAACTAAACAGAAGTGGTATTTACAAGCTGTCCTGTGGTGACTGTAATATGACTTATGTAGGTAGAACAATGAGAACTCTGAATCAAAGAATCAAAGAACACCTCAATAACCCAGAAAAATCAAACTTTGGATATCACATTAAATTTAATAATCATTCTTTTTCTCCTTCTGAAAACAGTAAAATTTTACACAACATTTCTAATAAAAACTTTAGACTCATGAATCTCTTGGAAGATCTAGAGATATCCAAAGAAATGAAAATAAACCCTGATTGTTGCTTAAACACACAAATCAACCTCAATTGCAACTATAAACCTCTTTTTAAATTATTATGGGAGACTTTAGAGGAAGAAGGGTGACCTCATGCAATCTTGTTATATATTTTTCATACTTTTATTTTTTAAACAAATTTTAAACTTTATTAAAATTTACAACATTTTGTAATTCATTTGACAGTTGTTCTTAATTGAAACATGAAAATACATTCTTAAAAAAAATTTTTTATGCAAAGTTCTTACAATTTTCCATCAAGACACACAATTCTTAATACACTTAAGTATCAGATAACATAACATTAATACCAGGTTTCTTCTTTATAGTGTTGTTGAACAATTTGAGCCCTTGTTCCTTAAGGATAGCTGTCAGATTGAACATACATTGACCTTGAGCAATGACTTGAGTGAATTTACAAATTAATGTCATTCTGTATGATGTGATGAACACATAAAATTTAATTTTAAAAACTTAATTTTTAGAAAGTCTTTGATGACTAGTAGTAATTCCAAACTACTAAATAATTTTGTAAGAATTTAAAAAAAAACAATCTCTATTTCCTATATATGACATTTGTCACCTGTCACTTTTGAAAAATTGTTTAAAAGGACCGACATTTGATTTCACTAGTTCTATTCAGTCTACGTCCTCACATCAATAGATGGTCGGGTCTTAAACCCGTACCATGACAAAAAATTTTTCAATTTTTTAACGTGTTTGTGACGTCCAGTGTCGACCTTTTATATGTTTTTTATATGTTTTAAAAATTCCAACTCCTACAAAATCATAATTGTGAAACTTAAGGAAATGAGATCTCTCCTTTGTAGTGGTATTTAAAAAATTGACGTAAGTTAAAAATTACAATCTTTACCAATTAGTACTTATTAGAACATTTTATTGTAGCATAGCTCTGATGATGGCTTTGTAAAGCCGAAAGCGCTCAGCTAGGAATTGCCTAAAATATACACACTTCAAAAATACTTTTTTGCATTTTCTTTCGACTTGTCATAAGTGTGTACAAAAAATATCAGTCTTTTGATTATTTATATATATATATATATATATATATATATATATATATATATATATATATATATATATATATATATACTGGTTGTTCTATTTCCCTACATCTTTGAACCATGAACTGCAAATTAAAGAGTGCTTCTCTGGTTCCAAGGTTGTTTCTGAAACCAAATTGTGTTCAATTTGGTATCATTACAAATGTTGATAGTAGCCAGTCTGTTGGTATATGTCTTGTTTCGTATATTTTATTAAAGAGGCTTAGAAGAGAATGTTTGCCCTTATCGTCGAGCAGTTTGATTATTTCGCTTGGAATTTCATCTGGACCGGTTGATTTCCTATTCTTTGATAGCTTTATAGCTCTTTCATGTCTGTGGAAAGTCAGTGGTGCTTATTTCCAAATTGTTATAAAAATTGATGCGTCTTCAAAGAAATCAAAGAGATCGCCGACTAATAAAAGGATAGAAAAAGAACAAAAAGAGGAAGAAAAAACACTTGATTTATTTTAATTTTATTATTAATAAAAATATTAAAAATACAATTAAAAAAATATGTATACCTATATTTATTCGAAGAGTATAAATTACCTATCTATCTACAAAAAAATGATTTTTCCAATTATAAAAATAACTTTCAATCGTTCATATTATATTTTAATTATAGCCATATTTAACCTAAGACCTTTTATTCCTAAACCCTTAACTGCAAATATACTGCCAGCTTCCGGTTCTTTCTCTAATTGCTCTCTGTTAAGCTGAAGACGGGATGTCGACACGAACAAGGTTTCGAAGTTATTTCCACCCCATATAACCGACGTAATGTATGTGGCGGGCATCTTTATTTTACGGATTATTTCCCCCGTTACTGGATTGACCTGGAGCACCTAAAATGGGATATTGCGTTTAATAATGAATTTCATATATTTTTTATTTTGGGAAAATGTATTTTAATACATTCCTCCTCCTTTAATGTGGAAACTCGAAATAGTATACGATATTTGTTCCTAATTTTATCACATTATTATTTTTAACGGGTTAAGTGCCACCATATTAAAAATTTTAATGTACAACAATATACGTTTATTCCAATCAATAATAGTCTAATATTGACAGGTTTATGTTTATTGTTTTTTTTACAAATCTCTATTTTATTTTTACAGTTTCTAGTCTAATTTCTATTGTGACCGTGCAAGTTCGGAACAGCGACACCTGGTGTCGTAAATCAACAAAATTTACTGCGCTTTCATGTTAGATCGATGTTACCGGATAACTGTCAAGGACGTAGCCCCAAAAAAGAATAAGAAGAGAAAGTAAGATTGAGGTTATGTCGGTATGTTATTAAAAGGTAAACGTTGTATGTAGGGTAAATACAAATAAATATATTATTAAATTATAGCATTACTGTTAATATGGATGCAATAATAAAAACTGGAGTTTCGCGGCCACCAGCAAGATTTTTATCACAAAATGCCTATGAGAGTCCAACGTTGCATCACGCCTTGATTTGTCTATTCCTGTTGATACCGTGTCGGCAAATCTAAAGGTACGAACATATTGCTGCGATTAATCGGTCCGTTGACAACATCGCAATGCGAAGTTTTCGCGAGACGAATGGCCACGGCGATTAAAAAGAACCAACACATTGGTGCGATGATATCTCGCAGCGACAACGTTAGTACTGCGTTATATTTTGTTAACGGAACTGGTTGCGTTTTTCTCGTCACCATTGCAAATTTAGAATGGTTCCAACAGAAAAATTAATAGAATTTGTAAAAAAATAACCAATATTTTATGATTTGCTCACAAGGATTATAAAAACATCAGAAAAAATGATCAAGTATGGGATGCAAATGGGCCAAGAGATAAAAGAATCCTGTAAGTATTTTAATTTAACCCGGGATCCGATAGGTGGGGTGTAGTACACCCCAACAATACTGAAGCGTCTAAAACATACGGAAATTTTGCATGTGGTGACAACGGCGGCTAGATAGCTTTCTATTGTATGTCCATCTATGTGATGACACATAGTTGTTAGTCATCTGTGTAGTTTTTCAAGTATTTTTGGATTGAAAGCGGTCAGACCCCACATGTCGGATTTTGTACATTCTGCAGAATTATTTTTATTTTGTTTTACTCCCATAAATAAGTTAGTATGGTAAGTGAATAATACTTGACAAGAGTGATTCGGAAGTAAGTGTGAAAATAGACAATGTTAGTGAAAATAGTGATTATCCTGACCAGCTTCAAGATGTTCCAGATATCACAGACAACTCGGATGCAGATGGACGTCCAAATGTAAGTGCCCACTTTTTAGGAAAAAATGGAAGTAAATGGCTGAAAGCTGTACCAAATAAAAACGTTAGAACAAGATCTGAAAACCTTATAACATATCTACCTGGTGTTAAAACGTATGCTAAATCCTCCAGAACTACTATCGAATGTTTTTAGTTATTTATATCTGAACAAGTGATTGTTGACATTGTTACATGCACTAATGAAAGAATAAGAGACAAAAAAATAAAAAGTGAAAATCACTTTGGAGAAACAAATCCTTCAGAAATAAAAGCTGCACTTGGCCTCTTATACTTAGCCGGTACATTTAGAAATCATCATCGTCGTCTGTGTGAGCTATGGGATGGAATCCCATATGTTCCATCCATGTGGATGGAACAGGTATGGTCATATTTCGGTGTACAATGAGTCAAAAAAGATTCGAGATTTTAATTTTATGCCTTCGGTTTGATCATAAAAATAACTGGGCAGACAGATTGAAACTGGACAAATTGGCATATATTCGAGGAATTGTTGACTGATTCGTGGAAAAATACAAAAACGCCTATACACCATCTCAATATATACCAAACAAAACGGTATAAAAGTACACGCTTTGGTAGATGTATGTACATACTACCTTGTAAATATGAAGGTTTATGTTAGTCAGCAGACAGATGGACCTTTTAAACAAAGTAATAGCCCGAAACATATTGTAGACCGTCTAGTTGCCCCGATATCTGGAATAAAACGAAACGTGACGTTTGACAACTGGTATACCAGCTACGAACTCCTCGAAAGCCTACGAAATACTCCCAAACTCACTGCCGTTGGATTAGTTAGAAAAAATAAGCCACGCATACCTCCAGAATTTTTAAATGCACGCAATAGAGATTTGTATTTTACACTGTTTGGGTTTCAAGAAAATGGTACACTAATATCCTATCACACAAAAAAGGGAAAAATGACATTATTGATGTCATCTCTCCATCATGATAATTCGGTGGGTGATACGGAGAAGAAAGTTCCTGAGATAGTATCTTTTTATAATTTTAGTAAGTGTGGTGTTGATGTCGTGGATGCAATGTCCGCATCTTACAGTGTTTCACGTCGGAGTCGCCGCTGGCCACTAACAATCTTTTTCTCCCTTCTCAATACCGCAGGAATTATGCCCAAATAATTTACAGAGTGAACAATAATGACGTGAAAATTGCTAGGATAATTTTCCTAATAGTTTAAGTTAGCAAAACAATTAATAGAAGACAATCAACGGAATAGAGTAACAAATCCAAGGTTAACTCGAGAACTGCGTAGTTCTATAAGACATGTTTTGGGTAAACAATCAGAGCCAGTACCCAAGAGAAGGAGACCAGGTCAGCAGGAAAAATGTTCTGTGTTTTCGTGTTCGTGACAGAATAACCAAATACGTATGCGAGGCTTGCGAGATTTACCTCTGTCTTGAGCATGCCCAAATTGTAAGGACTGTACAGATTTTGAGTAAATATTCAAGTTCGTATTGTTTACTAATTTAGCCATCTTTGTTTTATTAATTATAAATAAAATCATTTTTCTTTTGTCTTTAATTTAACTTAAACTCATATAATGTTCTTGATTGCATGTTGTGTATTACAAATTACAATAATAAATAATAAAAAATAAACGTAAAGATATTTTTTGCAATTCTTTAACTTGTTCAGTTGCTGGGGTTTGTCACGCCTCATCTGTCTGTTAGTGGAAAAAAAATTCACCTGTCGGATGCCGGGTTAAGAGTTTTTATTCACTTTAAGTATTTTATTAAATAATAATTTAATAAAAATATAAATATTTAGAGTTTTTATTTACATTTCAAGTATTAAAATTGTTAAAAATTGTTTTCTGTTTGAAAATGCTAAATTGGTTACACGCCTTGAGTCTCTTTTTATATTAATAAAAGCTTTGGCTAAGTTTTTAGTTTTTGATTTAGTTCTTATTGGTTCAATTTAGTGCATAAAGAAATATAAAAAATGCAACAAGTTTCAACAATTGAAATTGTCGTTTCAACTTTTGTCTCAATTGGCCTAAAAAATACTCGATATTTTTGTACTTAAAGTCAAAACGCATTTTCGACCACACGTCTAGCTCGGCATAAACGAGTATTATAATTTTCTTTTCGTCTATCGTTTCTAGTTTGTTTGTAGGGAAAAGGTCTTATTAAAAATTGTTTCAAGGCAAAGGCCTCATCTCCAATCAAAACTTGTGGACCAGGTTCTACTTGCCCAGGAAGATTTTTATCTTCAGGAACAGTCATTAAACCTGCCTTTAATTTCTGGCCCATGTTTGAATTTTCAAATATGCCTTCGTCGCTATGTTTCCCGTAACCTGCTACATCAACTCATATAAATTTGTAATTGGCATCAACAATAGCCATGAGTACCATTGAGAATTTTTTTAAATAACAAAAATGGTTTGACTCGTTTTTTTCCAGAGCATTTTATAGTAACATATTTTTCGTCCAAACTACTGATGCAGTTTGGAAATTGTCACATGTCTAGAAAATCTTTAGCAGATTTTTGCCATATTTCTGTTGTCGGTTCAGGAAGCATCACATACTTCATTTATAATTGTACCAACTATTGAAAATCTTACAAAATAAGTGTGCTCCATTATACTGAAGGTATCACTTGTTGCTAAAAAACTAAAACAGTATATTTTTTAGGTGAGGAACTAAAGAGAAGGCAGAGAAGTTTACGTGATTCTTATGTCCTATATATAAGAGTAATTAAAACAAGAAACGAACAAGCTGCACAAAATAAAATATGGCAATGGGCTGAAAGTATGAAAATGTTCCAACCTTTCTTGATTTTTGCTAAAACCTTTTCGAATGTACCGATATTTGCGACTCAATTAGAGTCTGTAACTGAAAAAGATAATGGTGTAGATGTTTCTGGTAACGAGGAGAGTGAATTTAGTGATCTATTTGAAGTACTGTTACCTACAGAACATAAAAAAATCTACTTGTGCTGATGTCATTTCCCTGATTGTACAACTTTAACCAAAAAAAAAAAACGAAAGTGAGAACTAAACAAAATATAAAACCTACACCTTTAGTTGACTCTATTATTACTTATTTTGAAAGCAGAAACACAAACAGCAAAAGACTCAACAAATTTATTGTTTTTATCATATGCAGGCTTGATAAAACAATTTTCTGGAAAACGTCAGGCTAAAACCAAACCACAAATTTCTCAAATAATTGAACAGCAAGAGGTAATGCCCAGAGTTCCCAACCATCAACTTCCAATAGTTGCACCTCTGATTCGAACTTTCGTGAAAGTCGACTTATTTTGCCAGACCAAGGAACCATTCCACTTGAACATAATCCAAGTGCCACTAGTGCAGCCAGCTTTTTACGAGTGTAACTCCTTTATAATGTTGATATATAAAAGAATATAAAATTACGATGAATGATTGATTTACCTCAAAGTAATGGATAGTCTTTTTTCGGCAGAAATGGGTTTACGAAAATTGCTATGAATCTTAGAAATATTTTGGAAGTTTAAAATTTAATCAAAACAAACGATTTTTATTCTGAAGTATTTATAAAACCGATTTTCGTCAGATCGAAGTTGTGGAATTAACGTATGAAATTCTCCTTTTTGTTGTATTTCCAAATTTATCTAATGATTCCCAATTTTTTTTTTCCATCAAAATATTATTAGATATTTAAACTTGCCTATAATATGAACACTAATATTTTGTATATTTCCAGATACCTAGTGAATACATTATAAGACATTATTTAATTTTAATATATTATTTATATTACATTATACCTTTGATCCTCCTCGTTTGCTAAAGCAACCAGCAAGATCAAATCTTCCTCCGATTCTGAAGAATCCATTCCAGACTATGCTGTAGTCGTCGGTTCAATTCAAGCGACTAATCGCAGCAATGTGTTCATGACATGAAAAAACGTGTTGCTTATATTGCGGGATAAATCGTGTCATCAAAGCACCGATTAAATCACAGCAATCTGTTCATCCCTTAACAAGCGAAGGTGCGTCACCGTGGCTTGCGTTTTTCTTATCAGTACTTAGATTAAAGGGGTACAATGCAGTCGTGGGAGAAACAGCAACAAAACTTGAAAAATATTGTCAAGAAATTCTGTCAGATAAATAATTGGATGAGTTTGACCACACGTATCTTTCGGAATAGTAGCATCCAACTGATTCTAGTGACAGTGAGAATGAATGTGTAACATTTTTTTATATAATTAAAATAATAATTATTTTTATTCCTTTTACCCCCGTGATGATACGCTGATGGTCGGTTTACTATCTTCAAAATTTTATTGAATGCACGGATTTTTCCTGAGTACGAAAGGTTTTTAATCCTTTTCTTTGTCATACTGTGTATGAATTGAACTAAATCTTTCGGGCTTTAAGGCGGGTTTATGTTTGATACTTTGGCAAAACAAATCTTCGGAGGCACGTATAGTAATTTTTCAACAAAATCCAATCTACAAGGTTTATATTTTATCACGTTCTCAGCTAGAAAAGTACCGTTAGTTTAGATGCTTGTTAGAATCTTACCTTCTCAGAAATACATACAACTGGCCTATGATTTTTGAGTGGGAGATATCCCTTCTTCTTTTTTTTGGGCCTTCTGAAGCACTTCTGAGTGGGCCCTTTTAGAGAAAAGACGCTTCGCTCATATCTTACCGTCTCTGTCTTACCTTTTCTGTGCATTTTCTTTATAAGTGTATATACACTTGTATATTTGAGTTTTTTTGATCTTATAATATATTAGAAAAAATATAGTTACAAAGTAACTTCAATGTTAATTAAATTCAGTGTTTAATACAGGTATAGTATTAGCTTCAGTGAATTAGTGCAGCAGTCATCAAGATTTACTGTAATTAATCATTATCTTCAATTATCTGGTCAAATAATATGGTATAGTATCATATCATCTTCCATTATCTGGACGAATCTAAAGTCATCCATTTCTTCACGTGTAGTTGAGAGTTACTACTGAATTTGGCATTTAATTTAAAGAACATTCTATATTTGCTTACGAACTTTCCATCAGCTACTAAAAAATTTCAATATATAATAATTACAAACATTAAGTTCTCAAGCATTACATAACAGTGCCAGATAGATAATTAACTACGACCAGTGCGGGTGAGTCAAATTTTTGTTTCTGAACCTTTTTTTGTATTCTTGTAAATTTATATTTGATTAATTTTTGTTATTTGCTATAATTGTTATTCATTTTGTTTATTTACTATACCCAATATCTCGAGATTAGCTCATTAAACAGCAAAGAGAGACTTTCTTTAATCAACTTTATACAGCATTTTTTTATACAGCATATTTTTTTATACAGAATATTTTTATACAGCATTAGACTCTCTTCGCTGATGATTGAACCTGTGCATTATTATATTCTTGTATTTGTAAGGTAAAGGTACTTATTATTTATATTACTGCTTATTTTTATATGTATACCACCATTTCATAATTGATGGTGTATTTTTATTTTGTGTGTACATTCAGTTACCGATATCATTGTGTTAAATATATTGTTTTTGTTTTATGTACGCATTTTATTTGACTCCTAACAAGTTTTCTGATATAAAAATATCTCTGAATATTTGCTAATTATATTATATTATTATTAAACCTTCGACCAGAAGAAAAATCAGGCTGATTGAGTTCTGTAGGTAATTAGGTGGACGCAGTAAACCTAATTTATTTATTATTTGTTTATATAGTGTGTTGACCAAATTTATTTAATAACTAACTGTTAATATATTTTCTCTGAACCTAAACATCTTTCCTTACCTCTTTTCTTTTCTAAGGTTTCTTAATTTTTTTCCTTAAACCCCAAAACATTGAGTGGCTCCCTGTTTCTATCTTATCTTATCTTTGGTAATTTTACCCATCTATCTTTTGGTTTATTTCTGTCTCCTCTCATATATCTTATCTTGTTATATCTGTACTTATTTCGTCCGTTGGACCCAGTCCCGGTTCCAAAAGCTAGTTTCGAACCCACGACTCGCTCTTCACCAACCATCTGGCTGCCGTCCGCAGTATCTCCATTGTTGAACTTTCTAGCACCATCCAAAAAAGGTTTCCGAGGTTACAAATAGAGTACTTCGGAATATAATAAAAACAAAGAAAAAGTGTAACTTAAAATACCAAACCGTTCGGACAAGATGTATCGGCGTCCACCAGTGAAGAAAAACAATATACCATATTCGGAGAATATGTTGATGCTGCTATAGAATCTGTCATTGCCCAACATTCTAAAGTCTCCAAATAGAAAATTTTAGAAGAACCAATACTATCTAATGCAATGAATAAAGCTATTGTCTGGGAGGCGATCAACAGCGAAAATTTACATTGGAGGACTATAATTCTGCAGGTGTAAAATTATGCGAAGACTTCTACAACAAATCGCACTTTCAATTTTAATCATTTTTAAAATTTTGAGGTCGAAAAAACAAATTGTTATGCTTTGCAGTGTCAGGAAAGAAATCAGAAAAATAAACGGACATATTACCGCGTGGCATAACACTGATTTTGGGTATAGTTATATTGATGAGGTTATGTCATTTTCCATCACTTCATTCATACTGGTTACAGAATGATCTTTATGTGAATAACTCAAAAAAGTAATATCAAGGAATCATTTCCATTTATTGTGAAAAACGCTGCATTTCAACGATAATTCAGTAACAATAGATGACCGTTTGCAAGAGATCGTTCTCGTGGTTAGCAGACTGAAGGGCGACTACAATTCAAGCAGTATATTGCCAACAAGAGGCACAATTTTGGGCTAAAATTATTTAAACTTTATCTGGAAGGAAGCTATAGTTATAACTACGATTTTAACGAATATTCTGAAAAAGAACATCTTGAACGTAGCACCGTACTGACAAATGTAGTAATGAAATTTATGGATAGACTGCTTGACCAAGGATGTACACTTGATTGTTAACTACTACAGTTACACCTGCATACGAACTCCTACACCGAAAAACTTTTATGATTGGTACATTACATGCAAACCGCAAATATAATCCTAAACTTGTCATTTCCAAAATATTAAAAGTAGGCGGACATGTAGCTTAACAAAGTAATTCTGGAATCGTTTTTCACAAGTGAAGGACAAGCGAGAGGTGCTGATGGTTAATACCAAATTCGTTGACGAAATGGTGACAAAGCAGATGACAAGCGGTGATGTTGTAAAGCCAAATAATGTCATTGAATGTAATAAATATAAAAGCTTCATTGATATATCAGATCAAATGAAAAACTATAATTAGTCATTACGTAAATGAATAAAATTGTACAGAAAATTACCGATCGAGCTCTTTATTGGCACAGCACTTATAAATGCCTATGTCGCATATTAAAGCATTACCAATGAAAGCATACAGATTACAAAATTTAAGGAAGAGGTAATTCGGGGCTTATTAGGATATTTTTTTGTCACATCAGTTATTATGAAAAATAGTCACAAACTAAGCGATATTGGTCGTGCTGGAAGAACACAATGTACAACGTGTTACGCAAAAAAAGGTAAAAGAGGAAGGAAGGCAATTCACATATGATAGCTGTAAAACATGCTATTGTCTATAACCGTAGGAAGTTATGTACCTATGTTTCCCTAATAATAAAACAAGACTTGAGTAATTGAGAAATTCACATAAAGACAAAAGGACGTACAGGTCACGTTGTAATTAATTTTTAGTAAATAATTCAATTCTAAACAAAATAATGAAATTATTGCCGACGCTGTTGGAATTGTGAAATTGTGCCCAGGGTGTGGGGAAAAAAGGGTGATTTTACATCGTAATCCAAGAATTTATATAATATGGCCTAGGTTATAAAGGGCAACCTCAGGAGCAATTCCCCAGTTCACTCAATATAAAATTTTTGGTAATTGTTTATTTATGAGCGTTTCTTTCTTTATGTGCCGTCTTCTACCGAAGGTTGGCGACCATCATACGA